CGCGGTTGGGTGACATCGTCACTGTTCGCCTAGCGACGGGGACACGTGTAACGGCCCCGAAGGTCCCTGTGGACCTCGGAGTGAAGTTTCTTGACTTTAATAGCGCGGGCCGCTTTCTAGGCTTAGACTTGGATGCAAGGTATGACCTCATCCAAGAAATGGCATGGTTGGAACACCATGCGCCATGGATTGATTGGAGGCCAAAGACCTTGGGCGCTACGCGCATGTCTCCTGGTGGAGCTTTGGCGAGTCATGAACCCACCGCTGCTAGGAGCAAAAGCGCTATTGGCGAGAGCACTGGACCGATACGCTCAACGTGCTAGACATCGGAATGTCTGAGTTGGTAGACACCAACGGTGTATCGGACAGGAGTCCCGAGCGTGGCTCGCGGGCTGATCGTGGAGTGGCACGTAACTCACTGAGCGCTGCTCGAGTATCAAAGCAGTCGCTGCATGTCATGCGTGACATGGTCGGACAGAGTCCGAGGCATCTTGGGCACGGCCTTTCAGATGCACGTGGAGTGGCACGTAAACCAATTAGCACTGCTTTCGTTGCGAAGCGGTCGCTGCATGCCATTGATGGCGTGGTCGGACAGAGCCCGAGGCATCTTATGCACGGACCTTCAGATGCGCGTAGAGTGGCACGTTATCCACTGGACGAAGACTGCGGGATCAGCAGCTCTTCGTCGGATGTTGTAGATAACATCGGAGCTCCAAAAAAGCGGAAAGTGAGGGTGACACCGAACGACGCGGAGTGTGTGTTAACCCTGGTCTCACCAAGACATAGAATCTCTGTACAGTGGCGAGTACGACGCCGTATGCTGGCTGCAAGACGCCGGGCGTAGACCCTGATCCAGGGTGTGTCTACCGTAGATGACGGTGCACATTTATATACCCTCGTCAACGGTATGACGGGGAGGAAGATGGTGACATCCGACCCGAGGCTATGTCTGAGTAGATGCTCTTCTTGATCTGGACGAGATGTCCTTTGAAGAGTTCAGTAGTGCCTTGAAGGCAGGCGATTTGGCCGAATTGGTCATTATATGATCGGACGAGGAGATAAACTCGTCATCGCTTCTGGATGAAGCTGTCTTGGAGGACACCAAGAGAGTGCTGAACACACGAAGTGGATCGTCGATCCTACGGAATTCCTTAAATCCGTAGTATCCTTTGGTGAAGGAATTTCAAGACGTCGTCTCCAAAGACCCGCA